TCTGAGTGTGGCCAGTGTGTGAGGGGAAGCTTTGCATAGTCTGAAGTCCTCTAATTGTTTTAGCTTCGTTGTCGAACATCCTAAAGCCACCCCTCGCTACCTGAAACTCCGATGATGTCCCCAAAGAACCTTTTTTCCCTCGTGAAATGCTAGCTTGTGTTGGGATGCTAGTTTTAGGTAGCTCGTGTGTGCAGTGATGGGGGACAGCATAATGTGACTGCAGTTTGATGTGAGATACCCCTTCGCCAAACAACAAATGCATGGTAGCTCTCGGCCAGGGCCTCAGTTTAGTTTGTTGTTGCATTCAGAAGAGAGCGCGGAAGGGAATCCCACAAATCCATCCTAGGGGGACTAGCATGAAAGCTTTCGTATCCGTGGTTTGATGATTCGGAGTCTCTTCGATCATGTGGTCCACCTCGTCTCGCACAAGTCCAACGACGGCACACTAGCAGGGTCGCTCAAACGACAGTTGCCCTCCCAAAAAATAGTGATGCTACGCATGTGTAGGCCTCTAGGCTTGTTCACTCATTGCTGTGCCCTTGTTTCTGATAGTATGGGGGGACAATCGTCGTCGTGATATCTTCGCGATCAGACCCACACTAGCATTGCATTGACCTGTCTGGAGAGTTTGTCCCACCCCCTCTGGGGGAAAGACAGCCAGTTGTCCCCCACAACAAGTACACATGCCTAGGCCTTTAGGTCCTTCCACCCATGGCTGTGTTTTGTTTGCCGCAAACTCTGGGGACAACAGCTGTCAGAGGAGAACATGTTTGCAACAGATCCCCCAAAAATATCCTTTCTTCATGTATTGTCGGGCCTTTTAGTGTTTCACTTAGTCTTCGCGATTTGGGGGAAGTGTTGGAGAGACCTTTGTTTGAAGGGGAGATGGGGGGTAGAAAGCCACATTAGCCTGTGACATGCTACTGGTGTATACAAAATGTTGTATCTTATTTTTGCAGATGATGCTGGCCTGCAACCCCCTGGATCCGATCAACCTGCCGGGGGATTACATGTGCTTGTCACAAATGTATCCATTGCTCCTTTTCAAATCAATCAATCCCTTCGGCAGCAGTATTGGGTGTCCCAAAGTAGCACTGAAAACATGTAAATCGGGGGAATATACAGATGCCCTCGAAATACATGTATACTTGTCACACCCCCTGAAAACCCCGAGAAATTTGGGGGCCTAATAGGCCGGGGGGTCTAACCGACTCCCCATGCCCTGGAGAAGAAGAAGAAGAGAGAGAGAGACGATGGGAGCACACGGTCCGAAAGGCACTATTTAGCACAGAATTGGAAACAAAGTGAAGCATGTGAAGCGCAAGCAGTCCCGAAACGGTTCGCCCGATGGCAGGAATTGGTCAGGGAAGTTCGAAAAGGATCGTGCTTGAAAGGGATTTGTGAATGGGACATCGGCATCTTGAGACAGAGGAACGGCACCGGGACTGTAAGAAGCAGAAAAAAGGGACAGAGCAGTCGAGAAAGGAGGGCAAACTGCTCGAAAGGGATGCAGCAATCTGAAAAAGAGGAGAACAGACCTGCGCAAGTGAAAATTGCTAGAGAATACGGTCAAAATGAACAACCCGCTTGAAACGGGCTGGAGGAATTATTGGGGATTGCCAGCAAGCGGAGCGGATTGCAGGAAAGACAGTTAAGGAATAAATCATGCTTAAACGGTTTGAGCGGGACTGAACGTTTCGAGAAAGACAAAGGAGTCAACAGCTCGAAAGAGGTTCAGGATATCACAATTCGATGAAGGTCGTGGCCCAGTTTTTGGACGTAAACATCGCCCCCTATTTCAGGCGGCTACATGCCAGCAAGGCTCCCCGAATCTCCAAGAGAGTCGAAAGCGACTAGACGCCCGGAGGATGGATGCAATGCAGAGTGATTGAAATCAGCTAATCACAGAGTTTGCGCGCGGCCTGAGGTCTAGTAGCAGATGCCGTGTGGTTTGGGGTCCTGCTTTCAGAAGCTCCAAGTCCACTAAGTGGATAGTCGCACAAGCAGTGCGGAAGCATTTCACGAGCAAAAGGCCGAGGGCTGCTGGAAGCAGCACGCCACGTCAACAAGTCTGTGGACATTTTCTCGGTGTGTCCGAGCTGGCCCCGCAGCAGTCCGGGCACAAGTGGGTTCGCAACTTTTCTTTTAGCGGCCATGTTGCCGTGTCCTATCGACTTGCGGATGTTAAGTGTTCCAGCATAATATTTTTCCCAATCCGTGGCCGATCAGCTGGTCGAGATCGCAGGGTATCGGTTCAGTGATTTTTCCGAACGAGATGATGCCGATGTGGTATGCGGTTCATAGCTCTGGGAGCACAACTCCGTGCAGCTAGCTACATGGATTCCCGCTTCATCGAGGCAGCACACACTGCAAGCATCAAAGGACTTGCTAGAGCCAGCGGCAAAGGGAATCCCATCGAGACTGCTTCTGAGCCTGCACCCATCTTTGCAGATCATGATCCTCCAAGCAGCCCAGTATAGAGCAACACATGTTGTGTGTGTGTGTGTGTGTGTGTGTGTGTGGGGGTGTCATGCTGTGTTCACGTGTTCACGCGCCGTGTGGAGCTCCTTAAACTTGATTGCTGTGTGATGCTCAGATGCTCAACTCAACTGCGGACAACTCGAGCTGTTTGGCTTGTTCCGGGTGTTCATGCAGGCCAAGTCTGCACAGAATGTGAAGATGGTTCACGTCAAAGCCATGATGCTCAAAGTAGCGGTAAAGGTGGAAGAGCAATACATGGAAGAATGCACTGCGCTTGCCAGCGCCAACTCAGCATTGCAGGATGCACGCGATCATTGCCATTCCTCGGCCTTCACCTTCCTGAAACACTTGGAGGACAAGGACAATGAGATTGAAGAACTGAAGTTTCTCATCCCGGACTCGATTGATGCAACTCATAGGCCTCGTCAGCCGCAGATCACCTACTACATGCAGAGGCAGGATGAGAAGCAGGAGCCGAAGCAGGAACCACCGCACTCCCAGAGGTCCAAAAGTAAAAGACAAAACCGCAAAGGAAAACCTTGGGAGCCTTGCTTTGGCGCAAACCATAAGAGTTTGAAGCATTGTGCCTGGGGACATGGCAAGCTGCATGATTTCGGGGTTTGTGTCGATCGGAAAACACCGCCTCGTCGCCAACTTGTACAGGGCAGGGCGAGTGAAACAGCCATGCCGCGAATCTTGTTGAGAAAGAAAAACGGAAAAGACGCGTGGTGTGCTACTCTGTAGCGGCAGCGGTGCTAGCAGCTGCTAGCAGGTGCCGTGTGGTGCTACTAGCAAGAAGGTGGCAGTAAAAACGGTGGAGACATGGGTGCCAAGAATTCCTTCACGATGACAGCAGTTTTGGGTCGATAGGTGCCGGCAAAAGCCTGCTTCCCTCGTTCGCCCAGGAACTTGTTGGGAATCGTGCGAAGGCCAAAGAAGTAAGGTTTCTTGGCAACCACGTCGAGGACCGCCCATTCAACGATTGTCTACATGTGCTTGATGTGATGTATATTGGGTTCCTCCCCATACGGACCCTATGAGCCCTGTTTTTTGTGCAGATCTTTTTGGTTCAGTTCAGGAAGCAAAGAAGAAAGCTTCGGGACTGCAGCTTGTCGAGCACATAGAACATGGTCAACATAGCGGGAACTGCGCAGCAGCTGCTCTGTTCTTGCTTCGTGTGCGCTCCGGGCAGATTCTGAGGCGTCAAAAATGGAAGAAGGTCACGCATGTGCCGAGAAAGGCCGGGGGGAAAGACATGCTCAGCTGTTTTCAAGCGAATGGCCAAAGGTTCTGCGTTTGACTGGCCTGGGGCGCTGGGTCAAGCGAAGAAAGAACCCGAAGACTGGAGACGAAGAAGAGGGATCTTTTGGAACCTTTGCAAGCTGGCGAGAATATGTTAGCAGTTGCAGCTTCATCGCCAGGATCATGTGGAAGTAGTAGTGCATACTCTGGAGATTAAGCTAGCTTGACGGTTCGTCGCTTTCAGTTCTATAGACCTTTCAGCTCAGTCGCACGGCGCCGTCGCGGAACCTCGTGAGCTGAAGTGGATCCTCGACACAGACACGGGGCAAACAACTTGCCGTCTCGTGAAGCTGTATTTGAAGCGGTGCAGGTGCTCGTGACTAGTGACTAGTGGCTCTGAAAAATGTTTTTCGAGCAAGGTTCCGAATTGATATCGGCATCTTGTCTGCTATCATTATTCCAGCTGCTTTCGGGAGCCCTGTGTCGTGCATGACAGTCGAAGTATTCCAAGGATGTGGGATCGGTATTGAGACAGCAGGAGATGAAGATGAAGGGTCTTTTCCAGTTCAAATCCACGGCTTCTTATTTTCCTGCACGGTCGCAGGGCGGCAGATAATTGGCACACAGTGGCCATTTCTGGCAGCACAATTTTCGTTTTGGGCAGCGTGCGCAGCTGATTGATGAGGTTCTGTCGCCTGAACACGTCCAGCCTGATTCCTCAGCTGACGGCAAATAGCTGTGTTTGAAAGTGTTTTTGGGTGGTGGCCCTGTCACCCGCGGCATGCAGCTTGCTAGGCTGTTTTGCTTTGTTCCCAGAACTGTCTCAATTTCATGACGTGTCACGAAGACATAGTTGCAGACTTGTTCTACGGCTTCGTTTCGTGTTGGCATAGGAGCATGCATAGTATCGGATTTCAGGCTGCTGGTGAGCATTGTCACTGGAATACCATTGCTCATTCCGAGCTGCGTGGCGGTGAGGGAGTATTCTCGAGCACTTACGTGCTCCATTGCAGCCGACATGGCTGCAAACAAGCGCAAAACTGTCTTTTCTCTGCGCTCATGATGAGTTCCTTTCCGACTTGACTGTGCCCGCTGCGCACCGTCTGCCTGCTGCTTAGGTCGCATTGCTGTGCACATCTTTCGACTTGAGCTTAGTGTGAGTGGTGAAGAGAACCATAGCAAATCAGCAGCGGGCATGAAGTGTCCGTACACAGAGGTTCTGTATGATTTCCTGGAAATCGACGCAGTGCAGAGAATGGAGATCCAGTGCCTTGGGGGCTTGGGAACCAATCGCTGTGGCAAAAATAAATTCAGCAAGCCTCACAATCTTCATCCCTAATCTCGCCTTGCGAGGATTCAGGAAATGCAAGCTGCTGTGGCCATGGTTCAACAAAGACGTGAAAGGATGCCAACTGACAGCATGCAGCCCTTGATTCGTTGTCAGTTGCAATGTAGACTGCAGCTGACCAGCCGTCTTTGCAGGCTTGAGTTTTTCGGAAAACTTCATCAGCTTGCGGATTTATGGCCGGTGACTCAGATCTGCACCGCATCTGAGTTGCGGGTCTTTAGTTCGTTTATTCCACCGAAGCAATTCGCTCGCAAGGCTCTATCGCACATTGCCACGCTTGGAGTTCATGAAGATGCTGAGTGAGTCACTTCAAGACGCCCCTTTCCTGCAACACCGAAAGCTCGGAATTTGCACTTTCATTTTGATACATGGAGGTCGTCTTTTGAGTGTCCAGCCCCGGGCGCCTTTGTTCAACAGTCCTCCCCGATGTTCTAGATGCCCCCTGCCAGAAAAGGCTTGTATTGTAGAGCAATGCTCGCGACGTGCACAACGCCAAGACACACAGACCTGCGGACAACAGGCAGGCCACAAAGAACATGCACGCAGACGCACCGCATGTAGACTCACATACAGGAGCTGTGTTAACGTAGCTCTGGTTCAGTGGTACCTTCGAGGCCAGAACGGCGCATTGGCTTGAATACCCACTGGATATGCTACGCTTTACTGGTGTCACACATGCAAGGTATGCTCACCCTCGTTTTCAACTTTATTTCTTTCGACTACGTGATAGTCTTCGTATGAAGCGTACGTTAAGCTACGGTTGACTACCAGCAATGAATGCCTGGACAACAGGCGGTATTTTTTCTCTTCCGCCATGAGTCTTTGCGATGAGCCTGCTGAGCACTACTAACTACAGAGTATGAGCCACGTGTCTTTCTACGGCGATGTTCGACAGTTCCAAATGGCTGTTTAATTGTTAGCGTCGGGTTAGCGTTGCGTTCGCAGCATTGTTTTCCTACCTATCTACTTCCTCCCTGCCTGCCTGCCTGCCTGCCTGCCTGCCTGCCTGCCTACGTACCTACGTACCTACCTACCTAACCTAACCTAACCTAACCTAACCTAACCTAACCTAACCTACCCTAAACCAAACCTGACCTGGCCTGGCCTATCGACTCGGTGCAGCGAATGCAATGCAATGCAATACTACTATTAGCACTACCACTACCACGACTACTAAGTGAAGGGGCATTATAGAACCGATTTTAATAAACGATTTTTTGGTCATCTTGGTCGTTTTGGTTTAAGGGTTTTCGGGTGTAGTGTCATTTTGGTAGTCTTGGCCATTTTGCTTCTCTTGGGGGTTCAAAAGTGACACGTCGTGACCACAATGACGCGTCACTTTTGCCCCTGGTGCAAGCGCACCCTATATTATTACTACTACTACTACTA